GGGGGGAGCCCGGACCCCCACCCCAGCCCACCAGCCTTGGACCCTTGGACTTCAAGGATGTAAGGAGCTCAGCAGTGACAGAGAGTGGAGTGTCCCCAGGGCTGAGAGACTCTGGTATGGCCATGGCCCTGCGAGAGGTAGTCAGCTCTAGGCAGGGGGAGGAACCTTTGGCAGGGGCCTTGTGACCTCACTAGCCACCAGGGGCTGCTGCTTCCTGGGAACTGCCCAGAGGACTCATCCTCCCAGAATATGGCCTGGATGGAGTCTTGAGGGCCGGGAGAGGGGACTCAGAACTCCATCAGCACATCCCCTCTCCTGGACCCAAAACTGTGATGACAGGACACCACCACCATAGGGTCTGTGTTAGTGCCGAGACAGGGACCATTAACCCAAACACTTGAATCACAGGCCAAGCTCTTCCAGAGACTCTCCTCCTGACACTCAGCAAGACCCAACGGTATGCCAAGCTTCAGTTTCCCAATGGGGTGTGTGTGTGTGTGTGTGTGTGTGTGTGTGTGTGTGTGTGTGTGCGCGCATGCATGCGTGCACATGTGCACACACACGCAAGTGCATGCACGCCATGTGACTCTAACAACAACTAAACACTGAACTGTAAAGAAAGAGGCCATCATAGCTGAGCATAGTAACTACAATTTTATTCCTAGCACTAGGGATATAAAGGCAGGAAAATATTAAGTTTGAAGGCAGACTAGGCTATCTAACAACACCCTATCTCAAAATCATTCAATTGCCACTCTGGGGTGGCACACGCCTTTAATCCCAGCACTTGGGAGGCAGAAGCAGGCGGATCTCTGTGAGTTCGAGGCCAGCCTGGTCTGCAGAGTGAGTGCCAGGATAGCCAAGGTTAACACAGAGAAACCTTGTTTCAAAACAAAAAACAAAAAACAAAAAAAAAATCAATCAACAAATAAGTAAATAAATAGAACCGAAGATGTAGCTTGTCTGGCATGCATAAGGCCCTGGGTTCAATTCCAGTACTATAACAACATAAGGCCAACTACCTGTGTGACCATAACAGGAACAAACTGGACAAGGTGACACTCATCTTTAATCCCAGCACTCAGGGGGCAGAGGCAGGCAAATCTCTGTGAGTTGAGGCTAGCCAGAGCTTCATGCTAAGACTCAAAAACAACAACAAAAACTATAGAAACCAACCTCGGGGGGCTGGAGAGATGGCTCAGGGGTTAAGAGCACTGGCTGTTCTTGCAGAGGTCCTGAGTTCAATTCCCAGCAACCACATGGTGGCTCACAACCATCTGTTATGAGATCTGGTGCCCTCTTCTGGCCTGTGGGGATACATGGAGACAGAATACTGTATAAAGAAACCAACTCCTCTCATTCGATCCTCAGTTTCTCTATTTTATAAAACATGGCATATTTTGAGGATCTCGGACAATTGTTTAAGTTTAAAAAAAAAAATCCAGGCTCAGCATGGCCCAGAACACAGCCTCTCTTAGCCATATTTCTTGCTTCCTTCTGAGGCCCTTTTTTTTTTTCCTTGTGGTGTGTGTACGCTAGGGAGAGAGACAGAGACTGATAATTCTGTAATTCTAAAAAATAGTGTTTATTATGGTTCTTAAATGTGTCATGCAAAATACAGTCATGGTAAAAACTCTGGAAAATACAAGCACGCACGCGCGCGCGCGCGCGCGCACACACACACACACACACACACACACACACACACACACAATAAAAGTCACCCCACAGCCCCATCTCGTGTTTCCAACCCTGAGACAGTCATTGTCAACTTTATGCTGTTTCCATTTTCAAAAACAAAGTCCATACTTATATATCTACCATCTGCCTGTCTCTCGCTGCA